TCTGCGGGGCTCTGCCGGGCTCTGCCGGGCGTGATGACCGTGGCTTTTTGACGGGTGGTTTTGTGGGGTGGGGGGCGCTGAAATGAGGGGCTGTGTTGTTTGTGTGGAGAGCGAGTGCTGTGGATCTGTGCACGGAGGCTGTTTGGCTGCTCTGGGAGCTCTTAGATGCAGTTGGCAGCCTGTGAGGTGTTTGTTTTCCTCCCTCCCTCTGCTTGCTGGCAGACTCTGGGAGCTGAGCTGTTTGCACCGGGGGGTCAAACTGCACTGGGAACCCCCAGCCCAGCCCTGGAGCTTGCCCAGGAGGCAGTGATGCTTTTGGGCTGGCTGGGGCCAGATTCCTGGGGTGCCACAGCACTCAGTGCCTGCGTCCCCCCTCTTGCAACCCGGGTGAATCCAGGCTTTCCCAGCTCACAGCTGTGTCGCAGCCACATCAGCCAGTGTTGCCCTTCTTTGTGGGAGCACAGAGTGCAGGGATGTGCGACAGAGGTGACAAAGGAGTGGGACAGCACCCTTGCAGGCTGTCCCAAAAGCCCCAAGGGGGACTCAGGGGGTTTCCCTCGGTGGGGTCCCCCTGCCCAGGGAGCTGCTGAGCTGTGGCTGTGGGCAGGGGCTGCCTGGGCCCGTGGGGGCTCGGTTTGGCCGCGTGTGACGCAGCGGCATTAACCTCGATTCTGTGCCGCCGCCACTTTGCACAGGGGATTAAGGGGCAGCAAGAGCTTTGTGGGGAGGCTGCCCGGCAGCTGTTGCTGGGTCAAAACATGAAGGGGTTTCATTTCCTCTGCCGGCTGCTGCCCCGGAGCCCTGGGGCTGCAGGGCAGGATGTGGCCCTGGCAGGTCTGTGCAGGGTCCCAGTGGGCTCTGGGTGCTGCCGCTGCTGCTGCTCGGGTCACCCTCAGTCAGGGCTGTGAATTGCTGCTTTTTTGGGGGGCTGTGCTTTGCCACTGGCAGCGTGTGCTGGTGTGGGAGCTGTGCCATGGCACCAGGGGGCTCAGGGACTGTCTGTTCCCTGGGGAGGGTGCTGCTGGCATGGAGGTCTGGTGAGGATCTGCTCGCCAGGGCAGCCACGGGAGGCCAGGCTGGAGAATCTGTGGGTGCCACGCTGATGGGAAGCAACGCTGTCTGTAGCAGCCCCTCTGGGATCCTGCTCCACAGGGCTCTGGCAGAGATGACCTGGCAGACTGAGTCACCAGTGTGCTCCCAATTGCTTCACCCAAGGCTGATGGTTGAGTGACCTCATGGGCCTGAGATATGAGGAAGAGACATTCTCAGCCTCATAGGCCCTGCCCCACCACAGCATCCAGTTTGGGGTCCTGGGAAGCCACCATGAGGATTGGGAGCCCTACCAGCTCCTCATCTTGCAGCTCTTGGCACCCAACCCTGCCTGGGTCTGTCACAGTGTTTGATCTGGATGTGTCTTGAGGACAGAATTCCAGGATGTGGCCTCGTCACCTCAAGTCTGGAGTTGTCCCATGGGCAAGACAAGCAGTAGGAGAGGAGGGTCAGCGCCAACAGGACATCCCCAGAACACACAAAATGCTGCAGGACTGCCAGGATGTTCATTGCCTGTTTCTCCACAACCTGGGGCCTTGTCCTACAAGCAAACAGCTTCAGATAATTTGGAAAACTAGGATGTTGGCACATCCCTGTGGCAACAAACAGAGGATGTCTCACCTCGCCATGGATGAGAGCAGCACCACATGCTGACCTGGGCATGGATACCACCATGGCTGAGAGTCCCTGGGATGCAGGAGGGAGCAGCCTGGAGACATGCTAGTGACCTGGCTGAGATGTTTGGGGTGGTGTTTGAAGCCGTCTGACCTTTCAATGAAGAGCTGACATCTCATCCTGCACAATGCTGGGTCAAAGGCCGTTCTAGCCCAAGAGTTTCCCACTGACCTGGGATGTCCCTGCATCCTGCTGGAGCAAGGGAGCTCCCTTCAGAGGAGAAAGAGATGGTGGTGGGAGCTGGCCTGGGGTGTTTGTCAGCACTGTGTGGGCAGGAGCTGCCTCTGGCTCTATGGGTGGATGCTCCCATCCATCCTCCCAAGCCTGGAGACGAGGTGTTGGACACAGCTTTGCTTGAACTGGGGAGTGGAAGAGTCATGTACTGCTGCTGCTGCTGGGGGTGCTGGCCAGGAGGGTTAGAGAGCACCAGGGCCAGGCCACAGGTGCTGCCCCAGCAATGCACAGGGACCTGCCCTAGTTCGAGGGGGGCTCAGGCCCATGGTGCCAGCAGAATTTGGCCAAATTTTGCCAAATTTGGGCCCTGCTGGCTATTGTGGGATGATTCTGCCCATGTCAGGGGAAGGGGCTGCAGGAAAATGACATGCTTAGAGCAGGGTCCACAGCACTGGGAGTAGCTAACCTGGCTTTTATTAAAGCTTTCTTCAGAGCTCTGCTAAAGCCCTTCCAGATGTGAGCTGCCAGAGCCATCAGAGCCAGAAGGACCCAAGGAGCGGGGAAAGCATGTATTGTGGCTGCAGTTAAAATGGTATTGCAGAGCAGGGAGGCTCCTGGCCTGGCTGAGGGATGAAGGGTCTTCAGTGCCATGAGTGGGACAGGGATGTGTGGGAAAAAGGGTGAAAAGTCCCTGGGACTGTGGTGTTGGCTGTGGTGGCTGCATGGCAGTGCCGTGGGGGATGCAGTGCTGGGGAGGAGCACAGAGGAGCTGGAGCAGCAGGACTGGGGTTGGCTGTGGTCTGGCTGCAGTCTCGTGATCCCAGTGTCCAGACCTGCTGCAGAGTCCCATGGGAGCCTAGGGCAGCTGCAGCCTTCCTTCTCCTGCTCTCCAGCAGCCGCAGGGCTGGCACAGAGGAAGCAGCGTGGCACTTGTTGGGCTCTTCCATGTGCTGGGCTGGAGCACCAGGGAGGGCTCCATGTCAGGAGCCATTCCTGGGCCATGCTGGAGACAGCAGCATTGCTACCTTGCTGGGCACTGCTGTTTTCCCATGGCTGAGGAGCTGCTCAGGATCACTGTGACACAGGGCTGGGCATGTGGCAATGCCACCGTGGTGAGTCTGTGCCAAGAGCCAGGGCAGCTTGAGCGTGTCCTTGGGACTGTGGGGTCTTGTTGTGCAAGAAGGGACATGATGGACCCCACAGTGCCCCCCCATCATGACCTGCAGTGACTTTATAGGCAGGGGAGCAGCAGCTCCATGGCTGGAGCAGCAGCTCTGCACATCTTTACACTTGCCCAGAGCATCTCCTGACCCAGCAGCTGCAGGAAGCTCCTGTGTCCTTGCAGAGTGACCCCATGTGCCTGGCGCAAGTGTGGCCTGGCAGCTGCATGTCCCGAGCCCTGGGAGCCCCCACCAGCTCCCATATCCCATCCCCTTCCCCAAGGGGACATTAGTGCTGGGCTGCCGGCCCTGTGCATTACAGGGATCGATGGGGCCAGATCTATACCACCAGCTGGGGACCAAAAAGCCCCAAAAGGCAGCTGCACCCGCCTCTGCCCAGCCCTGGGGCCCGGAACCCGCCACGGCACGTGCCGGGGCCTTGGGAATGCCAACACCTCTCGCTGCACCCGGGCGCCGGGGCAGCGTCACTGAGTCCCCTGCTAGCCCCAAAGCCAGAAATAGCAGAGCCTGTCATTCCCAGGGGTTATAAATAGCCTTGGCTATGGGGAGATGTTGTTTTTCTGCATGGAAAACGCTGCCCTAGTTCTGTTTCATCAATCTGCCGCCAGAAATAGTCCTAATTTCTTGGAAGTTTCTTGCTTCTCGGGTGTCGGTTAGAGCACTGCCTTGCAGGGGCTCTGTGGAGAGGGCAGGACAGGGGGGCTGAGCTCACCTGACTTCAGGGCACAGCCAGAGGCACCCCAGACCCTAAAGGGGAACCTCTCCATCCTCCAGCAGCATGTTGCCCAGGAAAAGTATGTCCTGCACCCTATACCATCTGCAGATCAGGGGCTTTGGGGGCCACCAGGTTGGGATGACAGCAGGTTTGGCATGAGGCTGTGTCCCCACAAAACTCACAGACCATTTCTCTCCACAGCTGGACCCACAGGCTGTGCAGACGAAAAACTGGCACATGGATGTGATTGAGATGAACGGGGTAAGTGGGGCCAGGGGACCCACAGCCCCTCGCTGAGAATGCAGCCCCTTCTTGCCTTCAGGCCAGCCAGTTCTCACCCCCTGTTTCCCACAGATCAAGGTGGAGTTCTCCATGAAATTCACAAGCAGGGACATGAGCCTGAAGAGGACCCCGTCCAAAAAGCAGACTGGTGTCTTCGGGGTCAAAATCAGTGTTGTGACAAAGTAAATGCAGGGCTGTGGGGCTGGTCTGCTCTGGTGGGTGTGGGGTTACACTGTGTCCCCTTGCTCCCACCAACACTGGGGAGCTTGGCTTTTGCTCTCTGCTGGGGACTTTCCTGTTCCCTTTGCCGTTGCCATCTTTCCCTCCTGCATGCCCATCCTGGCCCTGGCCCGGGGTTTGCAGGGCTGGGCTGGCTGCCACGGGTTCCCCTGGGAATCTTTGCTGACTGCTCCGCTTCCCGAGCCAGGCGCGAGCGCTCCAAGGTGCCTTACATCGTGCGCCAGTGCATCGAGGAGGTGGAGAAGAGGGGCATCGAAGAGGTCGGCATCTACAGGATCTCCGGAGTCGCCACTGACATTCAGGCATTGAAAGCTGTCTTTGATGCGAGTGAGTGTCCTGGGGGAGCTTGGTGTTCCAATGGGACCCCCCCCAGCCCTCTGCAAGCCCAGGGTTTGGTTATTGCACTGTGCATGCGCCAGATATGCCACTCTGCACAGGAAGGGACTGGGGGTGAGGAGGCACAAAAACAGCAAAAACACCCAGAGATCCCAGTCCTGTGTGTGCCTCGATGCCTCTGAGCTGCCGCCACTCCTGGCTGGCTCCTGGGAGTCACTGAGTCAGGGAAACATTGCAAATGGATTTGCAAATCGTTCTGTGTCCTGTTGCCCAGCCAGGCAGGAACCACTCGGCTTTTCCCAGCCTCAGCTTGGCTAATGGGGCTGTGAACCCAGCAGTGCTGTCCCTGCTCTCCAGCTGGCAGCCTGTCTGGATAGCTGGAGTGACACAGAGGGTGGAGACCCGGAGGGGAAAGAGGGCAGAAGGCCTCACATGTGGGTGCTCTCTGGACAGATAACAAGGACATCCTGGTGATGCTGAGTGACATGGACATCAATGCCATCGCTGGCACGCTGAAGCTGTACTTCCGTGAGCTGCCTGAGCCCCTCCTCACTGACAGACTCTACCCCGCCTTCATGGAGGGGATCGGTAAGAGCTCAGGGATGGGGAAGAGGTTGATGCACAAACGTGGCTCTGTTTGGCATTGCTTGCTCTGAGACTCCCAAGAGTCCTTCCCAGCTCGGCTCACTTGGTCCTGGCTATTTTTGCTGGCTCCAGGCCAGCTCAGGGCTTGTGGTGCTGCTCCCCAGTGCTCACACACTGGCTGCTGGGAGGTGTCTGGCTGTGGTGGGTCCTGCTGCTGCACCAGACCCTGTCCTGAGCCCTCTCCCCTGCCTCCAGCCCTCTCGGATCCTGCTGCCAAGGAGAACTGCATGATGCACCTTCTCCGCTCGCTGCCTGACCCGAACCTCATCACCTTCCTCTTCCTGCTGGAGCACTTGAAAAGGTAATGGCTCAGGGGCTGCCTGGGACGGGTGGGAGATGCAGGACGAGCCTGTCTCACTGCTTTTCCATGGGGGTGGGACATGAACAGAGTTTGAGCTGCTGTTTGATTCCTGTGGTGCCTGCACAGCTGCAGGCTGATCCCAGACTGGAGGCAGATGGTGCTGTGCTGGTGCTCCAGTATGGAGCAGTCCTGTCCCAGCCCTTCCAAGAGGGTACAGCTCCAGGTGTGTCCCACCTGCCCCATCTCTCTGGGCTCTGGTGTATTCTCAGGCTGCAGTTTGTTCAGACCCTTCTCTGGTATTGGTGTTGGCTTTCCACATCTTCTCTCCTTGGGCTCTGTATGATGCTGGGGGCAATCCTGGAGCCGTTCTGCCCCCAGCCCCTGGTGTCCCAGGACCACCGGCCATGGTGCCAGCAGGGCCTGTGCTGTGCCTGGCCAGTAACTCCAGGTCAACTCTGCAGGGAGCACGTGGCCCCTGGAAACAGAGAACACTTGGCTGCTGCAGCCGGTGTGCAGCTGGTTGGATGAGCTCTGCAGGGAGCAGCTGGTCTCAGCACAGGACAGGAATCAATTAGGAGCTCTGCAGTGTCCCCCTTAGCAGGAAAACAGCTCTGTGTCCCTTCCCAGTGCAGCAGTAGCCCTTGCTACAAGGTGCAACAATCCCTGTCACCTGTCAGCAGCGGTTGGCAAAAACCAATGATAGGCAGCACTATGGAAATGTCCCAGAACTGCAGGTGACACCTGTCCCAGGGTGAGTGAAGCAGTCAGTGTGTGGTTTGACAGGCTTTGTCTTGGCCCAGATGAGATGCATCCAAACCTGGGGACCCAAAACCCGTGGAAAGCACAGGGCTGCATGTGGAAGGACAGCAGAGCAGAACACAGAGCCTGGCCAGAGCTTGGAACTGGGGCTTATGGCTCATGTTACTTGCATCATGAAGGCTTTTTTTTTGTTCCTCTGGTTTGGCTAAAACCAAACAGAAAAAGTGATTGATGCTGGGGGATGGAGAAGGAAAAATCCATCCTGAGAACCGGGCACAGCCAGTTCCCACATCTGCTCCCCTGGCCGGGGCTCAAGCGAGCAGCCTGTGCCGGGGAGCACAGCTGCCTCCTAACATGGCAATGTTATGGTCCTGCTTCCCTCGATGCTGGCAGGGCTCCCACAGGGTTGTTGGGGCAGGGAGCCTCGAGGGGAGTGGGTGCAGGGGGCACAGGCTGGTGCAGAGCTGCCCTGCAGGCTCGGGAAGGGTGGAGGCCCCGCAGTGCAGAAGTGAGCGCTTGGTTGCTGCCACATCACACCCAGGGCTCCCGGCCAGGCCCGGCGGCTCCGGCGGAGGCCGTGAAGGGGGCAGAGCTCTCTGCCCTGCACCTGGGTTTTCCGAGGGCTACAAAGGACAGTGAAAAGCTGGAGGTGCCTCACTGCTGCTGGGAGAAGGGAGAGCAGCTCTCGGCCTCCACAATGCCCCATGGCTCCCCACTCCTGAACATCGTTAGGGGCTGACACCGCCTCTCTCCCTGTACCCCACAGGGTGGCTGAAAAGGAGCCTATCAACAAAATGTCTCTCCACAATCTGGCCACAGTCTTCGGGCCAACACTTCTAAGACCCTCAGAGGGGGAGAGCAAGGCACACCTCACCTTGGCCTCTGACATCTGGTCCCATGATGTGATGGCCCAGGTAAGAGCTGGCTGGGTACTGGAGGGGTTCACCTGCCTGTTTGGGTAGATTTGTTACTTTGCTGGATGGGACAAGCTGGGAGGTGGCAGCTGTTCCCCTTTCTGTAG